GGATTTTCTCCCCATTTTTCAACTCTACGAATCCATCGGTGACGTCATCAACGGTTTTTGGTGCCACTTGTGCACAGGATACCTGGTGAGTTTGACTCACTCCGTTACGACATGCGTCTGCCTTGTGCCCAGTCTGACCACATTTGAAACATTTTACAACCGTGGGGCTTGTGAAGTTAGTTCGGCAGTGGTTAGCACGGTGACCCATTCGGTTGCACAGAAAACATCGCGGAATGCTCTCTGGTGCACGCTTCTTTTCTTCGGGAGTCAGTTTCTTCGAATCATCGGGACAATCCTTCTTGACTCTGGCCAAATTAGTGCCACCTTGCGCTTCCAAGAATTGATCAGCTAATTCGCTAATTCAAGCATGTCTTCAAGTGACTTAGCTCTCCTCTCTTTCAAGTACAGCGACAGGCTTGGGTGGCAACTAGTAAGAAATTGTTCTCTAATTAGGAGCTCTCTAAGTTCATCGTACTCCTGCGCTGTCCCTGAAAGTTCAATCCATCTGTCGAAATAATGGCTAAGTCGGGCGGCGTACTGTGTAGCCGTCTCACCATCAGCTGGCTTTCCTGTCCGAAATCTGTCCCGGAATCCTTCTACAGTAAATCTAAATCGCTTCAGCAAAGCAGCTTTCACCTTTGCATAGTTGGCTGCATCGGTCGGCGTCAGCCTACCGTACACACTGAGCGCTTCACCACTCAAGCAAGTACTCAAAGCAGTTGCCCGTTGATGTTCTGGCCAATTCTGGCTCTTCGCAATCGTCTCGAATCGGTGAAGGTACGCGTCAAGGTCGTCCTTCCTTTCATCAAACGCCACGAGCAGCTTGCTTGGGTTCAAGCGGAAGCCATGATCTTCCCGTTCGCTGCTTTCAACTCTAGGTTGGACGGGAGTTTCACTTCGCTGTTGCAACCGGAGCCGCTCGAGTTCCATCTCGTGCTGCCGCTGCCGTTCCCTTTCAGCCATCTCCGCTTCTCTTTCTTCTCTCGCCCTTTCGGCTGCCAATTTTTCTCTCTCCAACTCCAACTTCAATCGCTGCTCTCTTTCTTCTTTCAGCTGTTGCTCCTTTGCCTCCCTTTCTTCTCTCGCCCTCTCAGCGGCCAGCTTTTCTCTCTCCAGCTCCAACTTCAACTGCTGCTGTCTTTCTTCTTTCAGCTGTCGCTCCTTTGCCTCTCTTTCTTCTTTCGCCCTTTCAGCTGCCAGCTTTTCTCTCTCCAGCTCCAACTTCAACTGCTTTTTCTTCCTTGGCTCTCTCAGCTGCCAACCTCTCTCTCTCCACCGCCTCTTTCTCCTTCTGGCTTACCCACTTCCGTAGTTCGGCGCCAGAAAGACCCATCTTCTCACCAAGAGCAACTAACTTTTCGAGATCCATTGTATCTCGCAAATAAGACCTTGCTGCGTGCAAAAAGTAAATCAGTCTATCGGAACACTCCCCTGCACTCGTTACGAGAACACTGAACAACAAACCAAATCGTTCCGATAGCACTATCAACAACTCGAGGCTCTTTCTCACTACTTTGGACACACTGTGCACCAAAAGGTCCTATGTCGCGGACGCCAGATTAATTGTCACACATGTCCCGTTTATTAGGGAGGCAATCGCCGGGCTAATTCCAAGGGTCGAAGTATCGGCCCCCCGAACCGCACCACGAAAGCGTGGACAATTTAGAAGTGGTCCTTTTTGGCGCGCCAGCGGACGCCGGCTGTGGTCCAAAGAACAAGTCAGAGCCGAGAGTTGATAAACAAACAAAATTATATTCTCATTAACGGCAGATCAAAAACAATACACACGTATGCACACTCCACAATAGTTACATACAATACGTCACCAATCAAACAACGTACTACACAGTACAATCAGCCACACTCAAAACAACGGACATAGACAACGAACGATACGCTCTACAATGCAGTCGCATGCATTGAACAACCAAGACACTTAAAGACTAAAGAGATAGAAACCTATCCAGTCCAAAGTTCTTGGAACAAAAGTCTGGATGATACTCTTCCGAGAATCACTCACTCAAAGTCCAGCGTTGTTGTCGTTCCGCGCCCTCGAAGTTTCTCTTCCAGGAAACCTCGCGCCTTCAATTGGCCACTCTCCAAGCTTCAAACTTCTTCGCCCGAACACGTCGGCTTCACACACGCAGCTGTCGCCACGCGTCTTCGCTCGATAGCGGTAAACACACTCTCTTGCCTGTAGCTCGGGCCTTCACCCCTCAGGTGGAAATCCTCTTCATCTCCCGCTTCGTCCCTACGGACAAATCTTCGCCGACTACACGACGGGATCCCTTCGCACTCTGGCGCAACTTCCGTCTTCTCCTGATCTCTCATCCCGGCTGCTCGGTTAAATACCTTGCGCGCGACATTCCAGACGGTTCTCGTCACTTCGTCGGCGCGATACGCAGCGAAGGCTGGGAAGGGGGCAAGACGGTTGGCACGCCCTCCGCGGCCGATGACTCAACTCGGTATGACCACGCCCGTTTCGTTCTGGAACTTTCGCGGGCTATCTCGGCCGCCGATGTGGGGCGAGGAGGTTCGTCGGCGAAGCCACGCTTCCGAGGGGAGAGCGCGCGCCCCGGGGAGCCTTTATATGTTTGTTTTCTTTTTTTTTTCTTTTGACCTCGCGGCGTTTCTCCCGCCCGTTATCGCAAGAATTTGGCGGCGCGCCCATTTTTAGCGCTCGTTCTGTGACACCTGCCTCGAACAGACTGGTCTCATGTGCTCACCCGTGAAGTCAGAGCTGTTGATATATTTGCCCAAACGCCGGGGCGCCAAAAGGGTGCAAACCTTCGGCGGAACACAACATCAACCTCCACACCAGAGATGGTCATGCAGTCTCCAGGGTAGACACCGTCAGGATCCTCGGCATGATCATCGAGTCCCGCGGAACCAACACCCAAACAGTAAAGAAGCTCAGGACTAAGACTGAGAATGCCATACGACTCGTACGTAGAGTAGCCAACAGGCACCATGGCCTCAAAGAAGACAACCTGCTGCGTCTCGTACACGCGTTTGTTTTGTGCCATTTTACCTATGTTGCCGCTATACACAAGTGGCTACGTGCTGAGCGCGATCAACTCAATGCGCTTATTCGTAAGGTGGTCATACGAGCCCTTGGCCTCCCTATCACCACTCCAACGTACAAACTCCTCGAGCTTGGCGTACATAACACGCTAGAAGAGATCGCCGAAGCTCAGGAACGCATGCAATTGACCCGACTCACTACCACCAAGGCGGGCCGCCATATTCTGCACGAGCTGGGCTTCTCCTCGAGGGCCAGGGACCCCCCAGAGTTGACTCTGATTCACCGTGAAATCAGTGTTCTTATCACGATCGCTCCCATTCCAGGAAATGTGCACCCCGAATACAACAGAGGCAGGCGTCCTGCGTGGGCAACCACCATTCTCAAGCAAATAGACATGGAAGCAAACAACGTCTTGTTCGTGGACGCTGCTGCCTATCACAACAACCGAGCCTTCATCCGTGCAGCAGATTCTTAACTGCCTCAATCCTCACCTGGAATCCCGAAGTGGCGGAGCAAGTAGCTAAAGCTACAGGTATGCTCGACAGCAAACAGGAACTCATCTACAGCGGCTCCAGACTGTCCATCAAAGCCTTTGAACATGGCGTCATCTCCGACCAGGCGTTACGAATCCTGCGCAGCGCGAACCCGATTGCCCTGAAGCAGCCACACTGTCATCTGGTTCCGCGCCCATCTCAGCCGGTGGCCTATCTAACTTCAACAAGATAGCCCATGATGCAGCGTGCGCACTTATCGATTGCACTGCCACATTGCAACCCCATCTCTCCGAGTTGGAAACCAATCGGAATGCACCCATTACGTGCAATGACATCGCAAAATACTTTTACCCTGAACGCCAAATTTTTCCACCCCCAAACTTAAGAGACTGCAGGCGCTAACCCTACGCCTATTACAGACCCACACGTACCCAAATCTTGCCAAGCTTCACGCTTATTATCCTGATGCATACCCTAGCGACACGTAGGTCCTCGTGTGAACACATGACAACACTCTCACACATGCTCTGGGAGTGTAGAAACACTCCTCCCGACTCTACCTCAAACAAGTGGGAGAGGTTCTTCAGAAGCTCACTTCTCGCCGACCAGCAATGGGTCGTCCAGCAGGCCCACGAAGCAGCCGCCAGGTACTCCCTGTCGGTCCCTACTGTGGGAGACGCCCGCTACGTGCTAGGCGCGTCCTGCAGGACTGAAATAAAGTTTTTTTCATTCAATTCTCTAGACCAGGAACATCCATGTTCATTCTACTGTTTTTTTTTTTCCAAATATATGGCACGTACCTACTTTGGTGGATTGGCCTAAAAATGCGATGTTGAGACTTTTAAGTGTTATTTTCGGAATGGTATGGGATTTTAAAAAAGACAGAAATGAAATGGTAATAAAACGTTATACACTAAATTTAAGAGTACAAGTATATGCTTTTGAACTTGTATTCCAGACTTCACCGTATTATCCTGATGAGAACAATTTTGAAAACTAAGTTAGGTTTTACCTTGTTTAAATGACAAATAATTTTAAATACCAGATAAAAATGGTACCCGAGTAGTTTTAATGAATCTACACACGGCATTAGAGGCATCCCTGTGGCTGTTCCACTGCTCGTGCCCAAATTTTTCTTCTCTTCTGTCCTCATCTTCCATGTTGCTGCTCGTACACAAGTCATCGGCAACAGATGTTGCATTCGAGTAGTTGTTGAAGGCTGCTTTGAAGGCTCCGAAAAAGTGGTCTGAAAAAGTGACCCAGCATTACTACTGAAAAAAAAAAAAAAAACAGTGCAATACATGTTAACGAAGAAGAACATGACTTGCGTGTTTGCTTGTTCTAGTTCTAGAGCTTCAAAGCTGTTGAGTTCACCAGTTTCTCAGCATGGTCAGTGTGCTTTTCAATGACCTCCTGAATACTGACGCAAGCGACACTGGACAAAACATAACCTGACAATCTTGCATGCCACACTGTTTTAGAGTTGAAAGCAGAACGCCCCCGCCTCATCTCACAAGTCCTCATGGCAGCCCGTTACCAAGGCTGGAAGGACCTGCCATTGAGCCGGAGGTCCGTGGAGAGATGTTGGCCGAGCCAATACCAGGAGCCGAGCCGTTGCCCGAAGCTGAGCCATCGATGAGAGCTGAGCCGAGACCGAGTACTGCCGAGGATGAATTGCCGGGAGCCGCACCTATTGTTCCAAAAGCTGAACCGCCTGCAGATGCTGCTCCGCTGCCGGTGCAACCGGACGTCGATACCGCAGCAATGCCTCCGCCGGCGTCGAGCCCCGTATCGCCTCCCACTCAACGACAAAGTGAGTGTGAAGGACTTGTAGTATTAAAGCAACATTCATGATGCTAATGTTAAACAGCCACACATCTGAGCCATAGCATATCCTTTGAATGTCTATGTCACTGTCGTGTATGGAGAATAATGACGTAATGACATAATGACATAATTTGTTATGTAAGAAAAGCTATCTTCTTTCAATTGAGGTATAAATGGGATAATTGGAGCAATATGTCACGTGAATTGAGTGTCAGGGTGCATCAAAATGATGATTTTTTTAGTAAAATTTCGAACTTTGGGGTTTTAAAAATATTTTTAAGGCAATAAATAGCATTCGTAAAGTAAGTATTACACTACATGTAAATATTCATACACAGCACAATATTACAATTGAAAAATTCAAACATGAAATATTTAGGCAAAGTTTTCCGACATGTATGCAGAAAATGTGGAGCAATGTTATTAAGCTTTGAATGCCCAGCACGAATGCAGTTTCTTTAATATGTAAGCTAAATTCAATGTTGAAACTATACTCTCAGAATCATTTTTCTGACAAACATTTAGACGAGATTCTGTAAAATTCGAGAAGTTTTTCACACCACCAGAGATTTTTTTCTCTCCCAAACATTCAAGCAACTTGTTCTTTTCAGTGCAAGAAATTAGCAAGCTTTTTTTCGAGTGTGTCTGAGATGGCCGCCGAAATAGCTGTGGACATTTGCCTGTCACCCATCAGGAACTGCAAATGATGTTTCCTACGTTTTTTGGATTATTTGCTGACCTTGTATGGTGTTGTCTAGCTATCATCGAACCCGTGTAATATGTTTCTTGCAGGACTTTGAAAAGGAGACAGAGTTGTGGGAGGATGTATAACGTGGACATATGGTTATGTTAGTACATCTGTCCAGAATAATTGTTGGTGATGATGGCACTGCTCTTTTTTCACAGATTTATATATTTTGAATAATAAATTCTGACCGCTAGCTCATTATGTTGCGGTGCAGGGCTGGTGGTACAGAGAAGTCATTAAAAAAACTTTCATCATGATTGTAAAGTTCAGGTGTCTTAAATTTTCTAGAAATAAAACATTCGTTACATTAAAATATTTATATTTCTGGAACAGTCTGTTAATGTGGTGTTCGTAGTGATGACAGTCTTGAGATGAAATATTGAAGCAAGCGTTTTATTTTTCTGGTGTAAATTGTTGGCGCAAGACCTAAGAGATAGGCAGAGAGAGGAGAAAAAAATTTTCTTGCTAGATTTGTGCGAATACTATTGAATTTTAGGTTCAAAGCGAATTAGAAGCGAATAGTGGTTCTGCTGGATTGATTTCTAATCAAATTCAAATAGTATGTATCACATAATATAAAGCAAAATGGGCATATTGGTCATGACCTAATTAACGTGCACAATATTTTTAAAAGTTAAAATAAGGCCTGTGTAAATTTTCTTCTTTTTGGTTCAAATGACGTGAAAACAACTTTGAAAAGTAGCAGGATTTAGCTTCTGGTAGAATACCAGTGATAACATGTAAAATATGTAACGTTTCAGAATTTACTATACTCAAAGCATATAAGTCGTTATAACAACCTTTTAAACTTAAAAAATAATGAACCGATGCAAAGGCGTTATGTTCATTGAAATGGCCCCTAAACCACCCTGAGGTTGAAATTTAGTTGGCGTTAGGAAGTTTGCTTGAGTTTACAATGAACATGTAGCTCTGAGAATTATTCGAAATGGTGCCGTAATAGCGGAGTTACACGCTTTTGATGATCGAAATGCGAAGATCGCTTCTTTCTCTTTTTTTCTATGCTACCCTCTTCCAAAACCGCTTGGCCCCTCCTCGCTGAGTCAGCTGAGTGCCCCTCCTCATCTTGCGTGGCATACGTCACCGCTGACGTGCTGTTCGAGACAGCGTCTCCTTCCGCTTGCCGCAATCCACCACTCTCCACGCCCCAGCTCGCCATCAGCTGTGTAGTGTGTGTCATCTGGGTGCACTGACCGTTGACTAACTGCTGTTGCTGTCGTGCCGGCCCGTGCCCCTACGCTAGCGATTTGGCGGTTGCATTACGGACCGCAGATGTCAACTCGCAAGCGGCAACACGACCAAAAACAGCAAGGAGCGTGGGAACAGCTGTTTGCAGAGTGACCGGAAGTCATCGGTTGTCGTTCGGCCAATCGCAGGCATCAAAATTGGTGATGTCATCCAGTTTCACTGGTGATGTCACACATGTCAGTGGCGGTAATGACGGGGACAGGAAAGGAGAAGCTATTGTTTTTTAGGAATTGTGGCGCGCTTGCTACCTGTAGCGCTGCGGCGTGTGGCGTCGTTGATCGTGACGGCATTCTGCGCGCAATGCGTTTGTTTACTTGATATGTTTGGGAAAATGTCGGAGGGGGTTCAGGGGCCCTTTAACCATGTTTAACCATAAAGTGGGGCTTTACGGCAGTGTCGATTTCTCCTGAACAGGTGTGTTCATGGCTTAGCATTCCTTGACTGCAGTGAAACCACCGTGACTGAGGAATATATGCAAACTAATATATAAAGTCCTCTTTGTGGTTGGTCAGGGTAACTGAACGGATTCCTAGAGAATCCGTTCAGTTAAACGCACGAGGGGGAGACAGTAAGTTAGGTGGGCCGATGGGATTAAAAAAGTTTGCGGGCGTAACATGACAGCAGAAAGCCCAAGACCGGGTTGATTGGGGGATCATGGGAGAGGCCTTTCCCTGCATTGGGCATAGTCCAGCTGATGGGGATGATGATGAATATATTGTTGAGACGTTTATTGGCGGACACTTGTCGATGATGGTTGACAGCGACAGTCAATGCGGGTACCGACTCTCTGCACGAGCTGCTCTTCTTTTTGCTAAAAGGGTGACCCACTAGAAGGCGCTTGAGAGGACGACCCACTGTTCGAAGGCTTCGCCACAACTACCCCGGGTACGAAGAGGGAGCCGCCTGGCGACCTAGCAGCTGGTTACTATGAGCGGGTCGTGGTAGGCTTTCAGGCGCTCCACGTTGACAATGTCGCGCCCTCGACGGCGCATGTCCGAAGATGGTTCGATGGGTTCGATCAAGTGATTTACAGGGGAAGTGCGTTCGACGACACGGTAGGGGCCTTCGTATTTGGGCAATAGTTTTGAAGATAGGCCAGTTGAAGTGGTAGGGATCGAGAGCCAGACGAGCGCTCCAGGGAGGAACGTGGGCGCAGTAGTGCTGGTGTCAGCGCGAATGCCTTTTTGCCGCTCTTGATCATGCGCTGTAAAGGTTTTTGCAAGCTCTCGACACTTTTCAGCAAGCATGGCTGTAGCAGAAATAGCCGCCCACTCTGACGGATCTGGCTTGTACGGAAAAATAGTGTTGATGGTGTGCGACGGGTGCCTTCCATATAATAAAAAGAAAGGTGAAAAGCCAGTAGTGCTCTGAGGGGTGGTGTTATATGCGTAGGTGACGAAGGGTAGAATGGCATCCCAATTTGTGTGATCGGCGGCGACGTACTTGGAGAGCATGTCACCGAGCGTACGGTTGAAGTGTTCAGTGAGGCCATTCGTCTGCGGGTGGTAAGCAGCAGTTTTGCGGTGAGCAACGTTGCACTCTTTGAGAATGGCTTCGACGACTTCAGACAGGAAGACGCGGCCTCGATCACTGAGCAGTTCCTGAGGTGGGCCGTTTCGCAGCGTGAATCGTTGGAGCAGGAAGGAGGCCACATCGCTCGCTGTAGCCGCGGGGAGAGCGGCAGTTTCGGCGTATCGCGTGAGGTGGTCCACAGCAACAATGGCCCAGCTGTTACCAGCCGACGTTAGTGGAAGTGGCCCATACAAATCGATGCCAACGCTCCCAAACGGCCTGGCAGTGCAAGGTAGAGGTTGCAGACCTACCTGCGACAGGTGCGTTGAAGTTTTGCGGCGCTGACATTCTATGCAGGAGCGAACGAATTTCTGCACGTAGCGGTACATGCCGCGCGAAAAGTATTGTTGGCGAATGCGGTGGTAAGTCTTCGATACCCCCGGAGTGCGCACATTGCGGATCAGAATGAAATAATTCGCATATGTCAGAGCGCAGACTGCGGGGTATGACTAGTAGCCACTGGCGGCCGTCACCGTTGTAATTGTGTCGGTGGAGGAGGTTTTCGCGAACGACGAAATGGTGGGCTTGACGACGCAACGCGCGAGTGGATGGAGTAGATGGATCAGTCAGCAAGTCTATCAGTGAGGCAATCCATTGATCCTTGCGCTGTTCAGTAGCAATGGCATGAATGCTAATGGAAGAAACGGCAAGGAGAGACGCTGAGTCGTGGGCATTGTATTCAGGCAAAGGAGAGCGCGACAGGGCGTTGGCGTCAGCATGTTGCCTTCCGTTGCGGTACAGCACGCAGATGTCGTAGTCTTGCAGACGAAGTGCCCACCGGGCGAGACGGCCTGAGGGATCTTTCAATGACGACAACCAGCATAGTGCGTGATGGTCGGTGACTACATCAAATGGGCGACCATACAAATAAGGTCGGAACTTGGTAAGGGCCCAGACGATTGCGAGACATTCTTTCTCAGTGACGGTGTAATTAGTCTCGGCTTTTGTAAGCGTACGGCTTGCATACGCCACGACATATTCCGGGAACCCTGGTTTGCGCTGCGCAAGGACAGCGCCGAGACCGACACCACTGGCGTCCTTGTGTACCTCTGTAGGGGCCGTAGGGTCGTAGTGGCGGAGTATGGGAGGCGATGTCAACAAACGATGGAGCGTTGTGAATGCGTCGTCACACTGTGATGACCATGAGCAGCTTTGTCAGCGGCGATACGATAGACGCGAAGTTTCGGATGAAGCGCCGAAAGTAGGAACACAGTCCTATGAAACTGCGCAGTTCCTTGACGGATGTCGGCTTGGGGAACTCGGTCACGGCCCGAAGCTTGGCTGGATCGGGGAGAATTCCGTCCTTGGACACGACGTAGCCGAGTATTGTCAACTGCCGAGCTGCAAATCGGCACTTCTTTAAGTTCAGTTGCAGACTGGCGTCACTCAGACGCGTTAAA